TCCTCAAAACCTCGATTTTTTTCCAATTTTTTGTATAAACGACACAGAAAAGTCAAAATTTATAATTTATTATAGATTTTTGAATTTTCACGGGCGTACGACCCATGCGAGAGATCGTTTGGTCGTTCCCGGCGGACCCAGCTCGAGCCGGATGCAGGAAAAATAATTTTTCGGGCGCACAAGTGCGATTTGGTGAAATCTGTCCGGAAGCATTTCGGGTACGAGCGACAGAATGCTCCGTTATCTTTGTTTACGCGGGGCACGGGGTGAGCCGGCCCGGCATGAGACGAAGTCGTCGCGCCGGAGACGCCCGAATACTTCGGACGCCTGTTAGGTCGGGGATCGTTTACTCAGGAGCGACGATAGTGGTTGCTCGAGGATATCGATCGGACCGGGCCTCGTGGGTTTGTTTTTGGGACTCGCTTCCAGATGGTTTAAACCAGCCAAAGACCTCGTCGAGTAAAATAATAAAGATACTTTATTTTCGGTGCCTCTTGGTTTACATGAACGACTCGTAGACTGGTCAACTCAAGGGGATTGGGGTTCATCCAGAGTTACAGGTGTCTCGCACGCAGGTTACAGAATGGAGACAGTTCAAACTTCGACAGATCAGAGAGCGAGCCCTTTGGAGCAGACCTTTTTATACTAAACTAGGGTGTTCCTAGATGCAGAGAAGGATGCTTATTGGTGGGTTTTTTAAGATTGAGAAGGGAAATGTCTCGTGTGATTGGTTTGGGGACAGGTTGAAGGGGAAACAGGTGGAAAGTGTCTTCTCCAGAGAATCTGAATGTTTGACTTTTCCCAGGGCTTATCTAGTTTGGGGTGCGGAAGTACTCGAAGAAATAAAGGGGAGATGAAGAACGAGGGAGAGTGTGTCTCTAGGAGCGTTTTGGAGCACGAGACTCGCTGCTCAGTCTCTTTCTTAATATTACTTAAAATAAAATGTTAGGTAGGGGCCTAACACGCCCCGCGAACGTAGATGCGAATGCCATAAATTCGACGGAACCCGATGGCTGTCGGAGATGAGAACTGGTTTTCGCGAAATTTCAATTTTTCCCCATTTTTTGTTATTTTTCATCAAACCGACTTTATTTTGAACATTCAATTAACCCTCGGTTCGTGCCGATGGGTCTTTTGTGTTATGAAAATCTATTACCTGTAATATCTCCAAAGATTCTCTTAACTTTAAATTTGTTTAAAGAATTATTTAAACATTGTTTTTGCTCTTCTAAGCTGATGTTATCTAATGTTGAAGGTTCAATGAATATTTTGGTAGAAATAGATCTCATGTACACAATTTTAATATTACTTAATAAACCCTGGATGTGAACGATTCATGAACATCAGCTACGTTGATCAAAGACCGTGGCATGTAGTGAGAGATAATGCTAAATATAAACGAATTTGGCAGCTAACCTATACGATTGTTAACGTTCTGAATTTGTTTATAATCAGTAAAAAATGAAATGTACGAAACAAATTGTTTTATACTCGATTAAAGAAAATTTTTTCTTTGGTAATACAGTTATATTTTTTATTTAAGATAAATAATTGAATTTCATAAACTAATAAATAAAAATAACTCTTACCAAAGAAAAATGTTTCTGTAATTAGTTAATAAATACATTTGCCCATCGATGCATCACATCGTTCAGCATATTTTCATAATTTCAATCTCAAAATGATATCAAATATAAAACAATTGTTTTACGTTGGAATATAAAACAATTTAATTATGATGTTTTTACAGTATACATTAGAATACATTGTATAATACAATTCCAACAAAACTGTCATTTGAGTTCGAAGGATAATATCATTTCTTGAGAATAAATTTGGCAAACCGCACTTACATACATTTAATTACAATGTTACTAATTTTTTTAATGACATTACAGGATGAAATCGAAAGTTTTGAGGACTCGAAAGAACTTAATCCCAAATTAATTCGGAAATTGGAAAGTAAGTAACGATGATGTATTCATTCTGATGTCAACGATAGGTACCAAATTAACTTTAACAATGGAATCAATTCCGTAAAATATGTTTAATGATATCCCGCAGCGAATGGACAAATTTATTATGTTGATGCACGTTCTTGATGAGTATATTTTCACATTTTCAATATTAAATTCAACTCGAGTGAACAAAAGACATGAAATCTCAACGATAGAACAATAATGCCACTAAAAACTTAAATTCAATATGTTTACCAAATGTCAGAGCACGGTTTGTCTCACGTAAGATAAAAATTCAGGTTTTAAATCAATTATAATTTTTCTCGACATTATTCTTTCAATAAAATCTAGTTTTCTACTTCCTTTATCCAGATAAAAAAGAGAATAATAAATATAAGAATATAAATTAGGAAGTAAATATGACATTTTATTTGGATTGCTTCCAATACATAATTGAAGCATTTATGATCATTATTTCAGTGCTCGCTAAATGACATTCAATATCAAATTGAATTTTGTTATAATATTAATTGGAACAATTTACATGATACTTGGTATCGATAAGGAAATTGTGATCCTCACTGCTTCTCTTCGCACAGAGGCACTTTCCTAAATCAAATTGCCCATCGGTTCATGCTATCGTTACACATATTTTAATTACATTTAATTGGGTACCTCTCGTTGACATCGGGATAGAGATCACATCGTCATTACTCACCAAATACGATATCGTAACAACAATATAACTGTTACATAACGTTTGTAACATGTAACATTATATATATTGTGACGTAGTTTAAATTTAGTCCCTTTCCGAGGGATACCTATTGGTCACAAAAGGGCCCTAAGTCCCGATGTCCTTAATCTCCGCCCTGGCTCGCACCCACCCCTGAGCACGCACACGCGAATCCTAGACCGGTTGGGCGCCAGGCGTCTTAGGACGCCGAATTTCAGGGGACCTTCGGCCGCCCTTCCCTAAGGGCTCGGGCTCTCCCCGCGAGAGCGGAGTCGGAAGGCGAGGGCTAAGGGTTTATCCCTGGCTTCTCCGAGGCCCGCCCTCGAAGAAGGCTTTCCCAAAAAGGTGTCGCTACTCCTAAGGGCTTCGCGGCCAGGGCGAAGGGCCAGCTAGCTCAGCTTGGTCGGCCACCGAAATGGCCGCGGAGAGGGGCGAGGTAAGGGCACTTAACTCCTGTGATTTTTAATTGGTCCGGCAGGGACCCGATTTCCTTCCGTTATATGAGAGGGAAAGGTTTGCCTTGGTAAATAAAATAAAACAAAGTGCAAAATTAAAGGGGTAAATCACAATCCAATTTATTTACCCGAAAGAAATTTCGATTGAATAAGAAAATAAACAGAATCCAGATAACAACTGGCCGAAAGGCTGAAACCCGACAATTATTCGGTGAATAAGGAAATTCTAACAAAATGGTTCTTTGAAAATGAGTTTTCCGGAAGAGGAATTTAACATATCGCCAAAAGGCGTTAACCCGACATAATTTCGGAAAATTAACGCGTGCACCGCAAGCGCATCGACAATAAATGAATTAGTCCTTCACAATAATGTGACAACCAAAAACGAATTATAAAACAAATAATTACTGGAAAGTAAGGAAGGTAAGGGAATATAAGGTAAAAAAGAAAGAAGGCACGCTCGCCACCTAGAGAAAAGTGCTACCAAATAAAGGTTTCAAGATGAGGCTGCCGAAGAATAATAATATTACATGCTACAAATAAGGGCAAATGTTAACAATGGAACACACACATTCCTGAAAATATAATGTTCGGCCTGGATTTTTCTTCCAACGGGAAGACTGTAGCGGAACGCGAGGAACTTTAGCTAATTGTAGCGCATTGGGACTTTAAAATTTTCGAGTCGCGAATTTAAACGAAAAAGGAGATTATTAACGAAAGTCGCTCCGAGATCGGAAAGGAGACAAACAATATTTTCCGTGGAGGCGACAAAGATAGAAAATAATTACAAGAGAGGTCTTCGGTCGAAAATCGTCGCGATTTCGCCGGACAAGGAAATAGAGTTGGAAAAACAAAGGGACATACGTCTTTCGCAACGCGGCGCTCGGTCCGCGCTACGCGATGCGGAAACGGGCCGTTCGGCCCCGAGGAATAATGAGAATTAAAGGTGCTTGCGCACCGCGTGACACGGACGGCCCTCTGGCCGCCTCGTGGCTTCTTGCCCCCTGGCGCCGCAAACTCGAGATTTGAACGGTTATCTTAAAAGAGAGGCTCAGGAAGGGGCTCGCAAGAAAATGCGGATTTCGGATCACACGACCCGGGCCGCAAAAGGGAGACTAATCTACTCGCGTTTTACGTTTTTATTTATTAACCCTTTTAGTGCCGGAGGCCGATATATCGGCCCTCGCTGCACTGGCGAAAAGTGCCAGAGCCGATATATCGGCCCGCACCTTGTAGCGCTTTACTATTCGCTTTGCGAGAGATCTCTATCTCAAAATAAATTTATAATACGTTACAAATAGTCTAATTTCATTACGAGAGAATTAAAATAACAATACAACAACACCTATAACAACCTATAACGATTACTTGTTTCGGATGAGATAACCCGTCCGGCGCCTACCATGTGCCTTGAAGTTATTTTTTGTTTCTTGTGCAATATTACTTATTTTGTTAAGAAATATATTGAAAATTTAAAGTATATACTTTGCAATAAGCAGTCTATATTGTGACGTGTCGGAGGTACGCGACGCGACACCGGAAGAACCTACGAGCGATCATCCAGACCGAAGAATACGAAATGGACGCGGATGCAAACGAGCCATCGGGAAACGAATAAGCACCGTGCCCCAGAACTCCCCACCAACTACGAGCGCGGTGCGACAAATCGGGGAGAATACCCGTGAAGATCTTCTAACCGAGGAAATAGGAAAATCCAGCGAGAAAATCCGATGCCCCGTCCTACGAATAAAAATCGGCGGAGTAGAAGTCGACGCTCTAATTGACACCGGAAGTGAGATAAACGCATTTTCCGAGGAGTTTGCAAAATCAAATACGAAAGACTTCGGAAAAATGCCCGCGTTACCAGTTACCGGACTAACAGTCAGAGGTGCAACCGCAGCAGCCCCGACAAAAGTCAAACAGCAAATTTATACGGAATTCACGGTGCAAGGAATCACACTCGCGGATGTATTCCTGGTAATCCCTAAACTTACAAGTCCATGCATCATTGGGATCGGACTGCTTACCCAACTGCAAGCAACGATCGACTTAAGCCAGGATATCATCACAGTCCACAAGGAGCAAGACGCGATTCCGATGAAATTAAAACGGGAGCATCCCGCATCAGAGGGAATCACAACTTCAAAACTCGGGAACGAGGAATGGGATGCATCGGAAAAAGAGATAATAGACAAAATCGACGAAATAGAATGGCCGAACGACGATGAACGAGGAACCTTAAGGCGACACATTCTCGAGTACAAGGACATCTTCAGCAAACGACCGGGTAAATTAACCACTTACCAACACCGACTGGAGGTAATGCCACACACTCCGTACGCCAGGAAACCTTACCCAATACCGATAGCTCATCGGGAAAAGGTTACGGAAGAAATAAATAAAATGTTGGAGCTCGGCATAATTCAACGTTCCAACAGCCCATATGTAAACCCTCTCGTCGTGGTCCACAAAAAGGACGGCAGCCTGCGACTCTGCTTGGACGCGAGGAGACTCAACTCGATCCTCATAGCGGGCTCAGAGTGCATGCAGACTATGGAAGTCCTGTTTCAAGAATGCACTAACGCAAACGTGATGTCTACCTTAGATCTTACATCAAGTTTCTGGCAAGTCCCACTGCACCCAGATTCGCGCAAATACACGGCGTTCCTACACCAAGGGCGATGTTATGAATTCATCGTTACACCATTCGGACTCAAGACCAGTACTGCAGCTCTAGTCAGAGGCCTGGAACCAGTCCTGAGAAACGTGTCAGCAGGAATCTTAAACTTTGTAGATGACATCCTCTGCACGGCGCGAACCTTCGAACAACACATCGAGCAGCTAAGGCGCTTGTTCGAAAGACTTCGCAAACACAATTTAACAATAAGTTTAAAAAAATCGGAATTTTTAAAGGAACGCGTAGTCTGGGACACGTCATCACGCCTAAAGGCATCCACCCGGATCCGACAAAGCTGCAAGCCATCCAGGAGGCACCGTCACCGAAGAATGTGCAGCAACTCCGGGGATTCCTAGGCCTAATAAATTTTTATACTAAATTTAACCCAACACACGCCAAAGTAATCACACCACTGCTCCAACTAGTCAAGAAAGGTCAGAGGTGGAAATGGGACGAAGACAAGCAACTAGCCTTCGAAAAGGCCAAAGACAGCTTCTGCAAAGAAGTAACGCTGCAGTTCCCGAAGAAGGATCGCCCATTTTACCTCCAAACGGACGCTAGCGACTACGCCCTAGGAGCGGTATTATACCAGTTAAATGATGAGGGTCAGCAAGAACCGATTCATTTCGCGAGTCGAACCTTAAAAGGGCCGGAATTGGCCTATTTCACCACCGAAAAAGAGCTGCTTGGAATCGTGTGGGCGCTAAAAAAGTTCCGGTCATATTTATTCGGAAGCAAAGTAATCATCGTCACCGACCACCAAGCACTGACGTTCCTCAGGAGTTGCCAGCTTCTCAATGCAAGGTTAACGCGATGGACCTTAGCAATTCAAGATTACGATCTTGAAATACAATATTGCAAAGGATCGGACAACGTCGTCGCGGACTACCTCAGCAGAGCAAGCACGAAGACCGCTGCGAAGGACGGTATCGACCTCCGAGGACCGAAATTAAATCGACTCGCCAAGGAACCCAATAAAGAACTAGAAGGTCTATGCAAAAACTTGGCCACCAAGCAGGATGAGGACGACGAGGTGAAGGCCTTAAAAGAGCGCGTAAGGACAACGGGAGATACTCACTACCGACTCGAAGGCAACAAATTACTAATACAAAAAGGAGGTTGGTACAAATACATGGTACCAAGTTTGTACGTGGATCTCCTAATCAACGAGTGCCACGAAATATACGGACATTGCGGGGCGAAGAAATGTTACCTAATACTAAGGGAAACCTTTTACTTCCCTCGCTGCTATAAACGAATAAGAAAGAGATTAAGCGCTTGCGACAGCTGCCAGCGTAACAAAATATACACCGTGGGATCATTCGCCGAGATGCAAAACATCATTCCGAGGAAGCCACGAGAGTTAGCATCGGTAGACTTCTATGGACCATTACCCACGGGAAAAGGCGGCGTTAAATACATCCCAGCAATAATTGATGTATTCTCAAAAGTGACCGCTCTATATGCCCTCAAGCGAGCCACCGCGGAAGCCACGCTGAAGTGTCTACGCGACCGCTACATACCAAGATTCGGAACGCCGAAAAAACTCCTGTCAGATCAAGGGACGCAGTTCACGTCCGACAAATGGCGGGAAGGGCTGCAGCAAGAAGGCATCCAACATATCTTGACATCGATACGCCACCCACAGGCGAATCCGGTGGAAAGAACCAATCGGGAATTAGCGCGATACTTCCGAACATTTCTGAACAATCAACACAGTCGCTGGGCGGACTGGCTTGATGTCCTGGAGGACGGCATCAACCATGCCTACCATGAAGCAACGGGATGCATACCGATGCAGTTACATGATGACATTCGTCCACCTCGACCGTGGGAGAGATGGTTAGAATCCTATCCAAGAAATATAGCGCACCCCGAAAGACTAGTTTTCGCCTACAAGAACATAACGCGGGAAGGGCGTAGAAGAGCCCAACGCTTCAACAAACAACACAAAATCACCGAATACAATGTCGGGGACTTAGTGCTAGTGCGCGCATTAAACGTCTCAAAACCTGAGAAGAATATTTCAGCGAAGTTCCTACCATTATATGAACGCCCATATGAAGTGGCACGGATAGTAGGTACAACTTCATATGAACTCAAAAACCCGAACACCGGTGTGACCCGGGGTGTATACCATACACAGGACATTCGACCCTATGTACAATAGACCGGTAATACCACGCAACCCACACACTACAGGTGCGCGGGGAGTAAGCAACGCCGGATTATTTCAAAATCAAAAGAAATGTGATAAGAACGTATAGGAAGAATACTGGCCGATTCCGAAATCGACGGAAATCAGTCTAGTTCAAAATTGCAAATCAAGCAGACACAGCAACGCAGACCGGAGTGCCGGAAGGGCGGGAAGTAGAGCCTCGGCCCTTTAAGGGCCAAAATAGGCGCGCGCGACGAGCCGGCCCGAAGAAGGGCACCATGGAGTGTAAGCAGACACAAACGGACGACCGCCAAATCCGGGAGACCGAGATAAGAAAGGAGATCGAGGAGTATGCGTCCGGAAGGAAGGTCCCAGAAGTGCCACCCGGCCAGCCGCCGGTACTAGCTAAACCGAGCGTAGGGCCAGCAGGGGTGAGCCTAACAAATAAGCAAACAAAAAGGAGATATTACAATAACCCAAAACCCCATAGCAGAAGCCTCGGATTCTGAAGGTGGAGAGGGTGGACCCCACCGTACGGGTGCACCGGTGGACTCGGCCGGTCACAGGGACGAGACCGTACGTCCCGAGGGTGCACACGGCCAAGCACGACGAGGCGGCGTGGCGGCGACGGGGGGAGCGGGCTCAGACGGCAAGGGCCAACCGTTACAAGGAGATGGCGGGAGACGCCTATATGCGGTGGTTGGACCAGCTCCCGCAGGCCGAGGAAAATTAAAAAAAAAAGAGAAAAAAAATATATAAAATAATNACACATTGCACAAGGTGTGACCGTGGAGCCCGTCCACACATAATCTCGAATAGACTTACGATTTCCAAAATCAGGGAAATTTAATTGAACACCATACTTGACGCGACGGAAAGACACACGGAGACCCTTATAATTTCGAGTCCACGACCGAACCTTCCTCAGACGAAACACGTAAAATTCCTGGATTCCCTACCATACGGCTTTCACTGATGACAAGTGCTTAGAGGCTGAGGCTCTGCGCCGTTGAAAGCCCTAGCTAATCTGAGACTGCCAAGAGGAAATCCAGGAACTCGCCAAAAGGCAAATCTTATAAACTTCCTCGCGACTGTCCGATTGCGCGATACGACGCGACCGAACAAGAGGGAAAGGGCCGGTACGCGAGAAAAGTTACAATATAAATTTATGATAAAAAGATGACTTTTCCTATGTGCAATTACGTTTTGAAACAGAGAACTCAATTTTTCTTTGTTTTTTTGTCACATATACCTTTGTTAATTATGTAATTTTCAATGGATATAGAAAAATTAGAATCACTGTTTTATTCTCTATTTTGTCCTTAATACACTGCTTTTTGAATTATGTAAATATTGCTTTTCGTTTGGTTTTTATGAGCCTTTTTCCAAATCCTAGTAAAATCGTAAAATTCGGCCGGTTATCTTCGCATAAGTACCTTGTTTTCGCCCGTCACTAAAAGGGTTAAATTTGGACTGAAAATCACTACTCCCGAACGGAACTCGCCGCGCGGTCGGCCAAGCGGCCAAGCTTTTCTTTGGCAAAGGTCCCGGATTCCCCGGATCCCAAACCCGATCCTCGTCCTCACCGCACGTGCGATATCGGTGGTCGGCCCTCGAAGGCCCTCGGACCGGCGAGATTTTGAATCGAACGAGAAAAAGGGACGCGGATCACCCCGCGTGATCCGACCTAACTCCGCCTTCACCCGGAGCGGTCGCCCCGCGCAATTACGACCCGGGATGGCCGTTAGTCGCCCCGTGCGACTAATCGGCCCTGAACGGCGGAAATAAGAGGGAGACGAACGGAATGCCGGATACAAAATATCCCGAGCTACTACACGCGACTTCAACGGGGGAGGAGGAGGTTACCCGCGGTGTGGGCCCGGGCCCCGGTTACCTGGTAGCCCTGCGGCCTACCGGCTCCGGATCGGCTGGCGGTCCTCTGGCTCGGTGGTCGTCAGCGGCGTCGTCGTGGCCGCGCGAGGATCAGGGACGGTATCTGTGAGGGCCTTTCCCCCCTCGGGCCGGTCAGTAGATTTTCCCCGAGGTTACCCCTCAAGTGCTGGTAGCTGGTCCCGGTAGACCTGGGGCTCGATCGAGGCCGTGGCCCCAGGTGTCCCTTCCTCGAGGAGGTCGCCCTGGATGGTCTCGTTGGTTCCCGAGGCGCCACTTCATCCTGATCCTCGTGGCTCTTTCTGGCCTGTCCGCTGCACCAATACATGGCCGCGGACGGGCTCCTCGGGGACGCAGAGACGCCTTCTCGAGGGTGTCGGCGATGGTCGGGGCCTCGCAGGTGGGCTCCTGCCCCTGCGTGGTCCAGGAGGCCCGAAGGGAGAGACAGGTGCCGCCCCGGGTGGAGTGGACTGGCCCTTCGAAGCGGTCCTTGACGTCGCCCAAATGGTGCCCTATCGCCACTTTCATGGGTCGATGCTCCGCCGGCCCTGAGTTCTTGTTTTGGGTCGTCCCTCGGAGGTCGAGCGTCGTGCGCCGAGCCAAGCCGTTGTGCTTACCCATAGCGATATCGGGCGAGTCCTTGAAGCCGCTAGTAATCCGTTCTAGGCGACTAAATTAAAATTCGGCTAGTACATTGCCTAACATGGCTTAAGGCCCAAGGGATGATAAAATAATGAGACGGTCTTCTCTTAGGTGTCTTCAGGTACGCCACCGAAGAATGAGAGGCGATAGTCAAATCCGACGTACCCGCTTAAATAATTAAAATGCCACTTTTTGGCAAAAGGGAAGGGAAAGGTACCTCGGGGACGACTAATTCCCCTTAATATTAACTACGAAAATAATGTTACTAAAAGAAGGAGTTCTCGGAATATATCCTTTCTACGCTTTCTCGAGTTCGCGTGCACTGTGTACGATACAGAAAATCTATTATGACCAAAAAAATAGAAGGGATATCACATATAATGGGGCTAACAGCCCTCTTCATCCCCGACCCCTCAAACCCCCGTCGCCGGACCCATGGCTCCTCGTAGCCGGTGTAGACGTTGGAAGGAAAACCGCGCCGTTTTGTGACGGCATTTCCTCCACAGAAATGTCACGTTACAATATATTGTGACGTGGTGAATTTCCCCACCCGTCACAAGGGGGATATGAAAGGCCGGAGTGCGGAGGGGTCCCCTTGGTAGTCATTAGGTTAAGGCTGGGAAAAAGAAAATAAGACAAAAAAGTGGCATTAAGGCCTCCGGTACAGAAACACGGCGCGCCGGCTGAGGAGTACCGCCGGTTGCCCGGTCCATGGGGACGCGTGAAGCGCCCCGCAATTAGGAGGACCTGCTGCCATCGGCCGGTGGCCGACCTAATTAGTCGACCCACTTCGGCGGGGCCAGAGGGCAGGTCGGCTCCCGGGCTTAGGTTCAGCGACGCCCGCTAGGAGAACATCAAGGCGGGAGCGGAAGTCCGGTCAACGACACCGCCATTCCCAAGGGGACTAGCCACGCCGAAGGACCTCCCGAGGACACTGAAGCGGCTTTAGTAACCTTCCCGACAAGGACCGTCCCGTCCCGAGGGGAGTGTCCCGCTGAGTACACGTTGCGCTGCCCTTCCGTGGGAGGAAGTCCCGCCCAGAACAACCGGCGACCGGTGAGCCCGAACCTGCCCAGGGGGCCTCCTATGTCGCGCCATATTATATCCTGTCGATCGTGCCGCGAGCCATTTCCGTCGGTTTCCGCGTCTGTCTCGTGCCGAGTGTAGAGTTCGTTGTGAGCCGGGCGGAGGGTGCCGACGCTCCGGGTTTCGGTGTGTGAGGCCCACCGACAACCGCGTGGCGGGCCGGGTTCGAGCCGACATTTTCGCGCCAGGCGGCACCTTCCGGACCGCGTGGGCCGAAGGAGTATCGTGATCGCGTCCCGGTGGTAGTTTCTGTCCGACATCCGGGAAGAGATTCTCGCCCGCCTATTTTACCGAGCCCCGTACCGAATGTACCGCTTTTGAATTCCGAGGCTGCGTGCGCGCAGGGCGCGGTGGGCGAGGATAGGGTGCCGACCGCCATATCGATTGCGCAGCATCCGGGCGCCGGGCCCTTATCGAGGCACCGAGGGGGCCCAACAGGTCTTCCCGGCCGGGCGTTGTGCCCGCAGGTTCCCCTACCGAGGGGAATACCTGATTACACCGCGACTCCAATTTATTGTTTTCTTGCGTCCCGCCAAGCGCCCGTCCCGTTCGACGGGCGCCCCCTTTTTCCTTTGTAACGGTCGTTTAAATTATCGGGCGCGATCCAGGCCCGTTAATAGAAAAATTCGATCCCGTCGGGATTCGCTGTTGCCACCATTTCGTGATCTTTTATTTGTCTTCCCGAAATTCCCGGCGCAAACCGCAGGGCCGGAAGGGACACCTTCGCACTCGGAGGATACCGTGGCGAACCCCCCACCTCTGCCGTGCCGCGAAGGGCGTAAGGTCCACGCGGGGCTGAGTGGCCGGTTGGCTACGCCCGGGGGCCGCGATTAACATGCGGGGTCATCGTGCTCCGGGCTACCGGGCCCCGACGGCCCGAGGTGCGCGCGCGCATCTGGCGCCCTAAACAAATCGGGCCGTCGGAAGGGCCGAAGACCGGGCTCCAACCCTGGTTAGGGCTTGAAACCGGGCGTAGGACTATTTGCCGACTAGGGGCAGGAAGTCCCGTCGCAATATATATATATATATTGTGACGTGGTATATTTTTGCCACCCCACGGCGACCCCAAATTTCGGCCGACATCTCTTTTTTTTTTTAGCATTCTTTGGTTGTAGAGTCCGAGGTCCGACGGTCACCGACCCGGGGGAGAGGGAGAGAATGCCTAATCAATAATTCTTTAATAATTTGTTACAGCCTAATTTAGCGATCCGCGGGAACTCTTCTCAATTTCCTGTGAGGAATCATTCATTTGTTGCTTTTTTAGAGTTCCCGGGCGTACTCTCGAGCACTCAAGGATATTCGGAATGAATATTCGGCGAGGTGATCGAGGGCTCGCGAAATCTTTTGTATCGCGTAGCGCGGCTCCGGTCGCTAGGCCGGAGAGTCAACACCGGCGACCTCTCGGAGGTCGCGCTCGCGCGCGCGCTACCGCTCGTCGCCCCGGCTGGGAAGAAAGAAGCCGTCGAGGAAGCCTCGGCGGCCAGGAACTCCAGAACCGAGCTCATCAGCCGCGGTGCCACGGCCCGTTCGTCGGTTCCACCCGGAGGGCAAGTCGGCTCTGCTACACCCCCTGGTGGCCTTGCCTGCGGGGGCGGGCCGCAGACGGGCCCTGGAGGCTCGGGTGCGGCCGCCCGCAGGGGCAGCAGGACTACCCGGCCAGGAGCCGGACCAGGAGGCAGGAGCTCCAGCGACCCTGGCTGCTACCGACGAGGCGAGGCGTGGATTCTACGCCCTCGCTGGAGTACCCGGGGCTTACCCAAGGGTCCGTCCCCGGGTGAGCCAGGATCCCCCGGAGGGGAAAACATCGGGGGCCCAGAGGATCAGGGCCCATCGGGACTCGACGAACCACCGCTCGGCACGGCCGTGGCATCGCCGGCGGCTCGACGTGCGCCAGGCGCGCAACGCCGTTGCCCAGCAACCGCGCACGGAGATCGCGCCGCAGCAACCCCCTGCCCTAGGAATCGGGCCGGCGCACGCCGATACCGCCGAAAAGTTGGTGCTAAGGGGCATCTCAACCAATCAACGGCGCCGATTGGAATTCGGACTGGCCACCCGAAGCCCTATATAGGACAGCGCCTAGAGAGCCCCGATCTTCTCTGCCTACGATCGTCGGACCGTGCGGACCTACGCCAGGGAGTTGTCTGGAAGAAGTTTTCTTAAAACATTGTTTCAATTGTCTGCCATTGCCACCAAGGTATCCGAAGACCTTCCCGGCTCATCGAGGGACTTAGCCGAGGGACCGGTGAGCGGCGGTGAATTTTCTTGAGTGAAGTAAGTGCCACGTGCCTATTCGAGGACCCCTTGTCGATAGTTAATAAAAATTAGAGTCTGCGGGTAACTTCGCGAAGTAGTAGGGCCCGGATCGTGTCGCGCCGGTGAGCGGAAGCGTACCGAATAGACGGTCTTCGTTAGTCTCACGCGGGCGATCTTCCGGTTTGCCCTGGTGGGGCCTACGACCCGCGGAAATCGGATTTTGAGTTAGCCTCTCGGGAGGCCGTGCGGTTCCTCGAGTGGACACGAGAGCGACTTTTCTTGTATTCTTTGAGTCGTGTCCTGTAATTCTCTAGACATCTTCTTTGTCATTTTCTGTCGCGCCCCTTTAAAGTAAAAGCGCGCAGTTCGAGTCATCTTTTCTATTGTTTGGCCGTGAAATTCGAGTTCCTTTGTAGTTTAATTTTCTTTGTCTGACGGAAGTTTGTGAACGGTTTTGACTTCCGCCGAGACTAATTTTCGAGTCCAGTAGAGTCATTTTTCTCACGCCGGTTTATGAATGGTTTGGGCCCACGGCGGGAAAAGTGCCCTTTTCGAGATATTTTGAAGTGATCGTTCCCCGAAAATTTGCGAGGGGTTTGGATTTTCGGTGCGGAGATCTTATGATTGAGTAAATTTAGAGTCCTTTGTCACGGCCAGAAGTCGAGTCCTAGGCGCGTCCAGTATCTTTCCCTCGGGGTCGGAGGCGGAGAAGCCGCGCGGTGACCACGTGGTCGCCCGCGTCCGTGCCCCTTTTTCTTCCCCGGTGAGCCCGCTTTTCCTCCGGTCGAAGTTGCGATATGCCTGAGTTTGTTTCGCCAAATTTGGATTTTTGAGTTTAGTTTGCCGAATAATTTTTGAGAGTAGGTTTGCGACTCGTCCGTCGAATAAATTTTGTATAACGGTGCGGAACTTTAAAGTCGAGAACATGTCGTATAATTTCGAGTCCATTAGTCCATGAACGCGAGCGCAAATATTTGAACTGTTGAATTGTATTTTGAGTGGGTCCAATATTTGAATTATTGAATTGTATTTTGAGTGTGTCCGATTTTGAATTTAAGGTACGAAAATTGTTTATTACAGCGAATCCGATGCGTATTCTCTGTATGATTTGGAATTATCAAATTGTTTTTGCATTGTGGTCGATTGGAGCCCGCGGAAATAGATTTTCCGAGAGTTGACGAATTTCTTTTTATTGTTAGAATAAATTTGTTAAAACTTGGTACCAAATTCGAATTCGTTTCTCTTTTGAGTGAGTGTGGCTGAATTCCCCTGTTTCCTCGAGCCTAAGATTAATTCCCCAAATTTGTTGAAGTTTTCCCCTTTGTCCCCCGCGTCTTGGTCTTACCCTTGCCCTCTCCGAGCCTTGGCGCGTGCGCGCTCTGAACTAGTCGGCCGCGCCGCGACGATAGTCGAAGCGGAGATCGTTCGAACCTAGTCCTTTGGGTCAATTTGGAGTTTGTCGAGATTTGTTCGAGAGTATTGGAATTTTAAGTTGTTGAGATTTTCGAGAGTTTGCCGTCGAGTATTGTTGACCTCCGGGGAGGCCTGGCGCCCAACTTTGTGTCTCGTTCCCGAAACCGGGACATCCTTTTGAGTGGCTCGAACGGATCCGCCTAGACGATCGGGCGAAGGTGACGAGCAATCGTTCGGGCGCTGCGGGCCCGGAATTCCCCCCGAACAAAGNATATATATCGCGTTCTTTAGACCGGGATCCCGCGACCCTGAATATTGTGAACCGCGAGTGTAGAGTCGCGCAGTAGAGTACAGATTTAGCGTCGCCCGGTGGCGACTGGCGCCCATTCCGCGAGTGATAGTATTCGGGCGTCAAGCTTTGTGACGGAAACCACGTCGCAAATTTTGGCGCCCAACGTGGGGCCCGGGAAACTGTGCGCAGGAGCGCCAGTGCTTTCGGACCGCCTCGTTTGAATGTTTAGACTTTCCGGTGAGCTCGCGCCGCGTATCGCAAATCCTCGCTGTGTAATTTTGTTAGGGTGAGAAATCGAAATTAAAATTAAAAAAAAATAGATAGGGTCCTTTCCCCCCACTCCTCCTTCCTTCCCCTGGGGAATGCGACCGGCCCCTTCGTTTGTTTCTTTTTCTGCTTGTCGTCAAGCCATTCTTGCGGCGAGTATTTCGTGGCCCCTACCCAGTGGCGACCCGCTGTACTTCTTCCCGGAGAAATCTGTAAGAGTAACGCCAAGTTAAAGAATTTGTTGGGAATCTCGCGTGAATCGAGTAGATTCTCCCTTCTTGTTTTTATGGAATAAATTATAAATCCCCTAAAGATTGTTGAATATTGAGATCGAGAAATTTGGAGAAATTGTGAAGTGTTCGTTGCGTTAACCATTTTGTTTGGTAATTTTAAGACCCCCCCAATTCCTCATGTATTTTAATAATTTTGTAATTTTTCGTATTGTTCTTCAGTCTTCCCTGATTATGATTTGTAGAAATATTTTATTGTTATTATTTGGTTTATAAGAAAATTATTAAAAAAAAAGAGAAAATATTGTGCTCTAAGGTGGGAATTATCCTGTTTTTGCTTCGCTATTATAGAATTCATAATATTTTAACGGATTTCTATTTTGTTTCATTTACGGTTTATTCATAATACGTTGAATTTCATCTTGAAAAATAATGATTCTCTGAGTGTTGTCGGGATTGGACCGGCTATTCGTTAATCTCTTATTTTGGAACTTTCATTTTCATTTTCATTTTTTTATTTATAATGACATGAGGACGACGCCACAATTTTTTTGAAAATTCACATCGGATGGTTGAAAATGTGCTTGACTTGTTGCTAACCTCTTTTCTTACAGGAAAGGTAATATTTTGAGTTGTTATTTATTGGTTAGGCCCGATATTATTTAAATGTTTAATGACAATGATATATTGTATGTATCCCTAATCCCCTTTCCCTATACCCCGGACGAGGCGAGCATATGATTTTAGAGCACAGTTTGAGGGTTCAATTCCATTCAATCAGTAGAGTTTTGGGGGAGTACAGTAATTTCAGACATACAATTTTTAGCTTGTTCCTGTAGACTTTTCACTTCATTTTAAAGTATCGTCTCGGTCAAATGTGGAATCCATTCGATATTCCTCTAGAATTGTTTGATGTAGCATACCGGGATTCGACCCTATAATAATTTTAGGCCCCACCTGGAGGAATTTAATAGGGGCAATTAAGAAGTAAGGCTTTCCTAGAGCCATAAGTAAGAAAATTTACAACTGGTTCGGGGAGTGATATGAGGGCTTTGTGAGGGAAGAACAGTTGCCCGAGGGTAAATTCGAGATTATAGAATTCCAGAGCAGAGATCTCGCTTTCCTACCCCTTCCTACCCCTGGACTAGGCAATCTGCCTTATACCTTCTCCCTTGCATGCAGATTTCTCGTCTGCATTCCCATCAATTCCCCTGCCCATTTGTATGTTAATAAGATTAAGTGTTGTGTGTTCCTTTTATTTTGCTTGTTCCGCGTTCCCAAAGTAGGGACATTAGAAGATTAGGATTCTTTTAGACGGAATTATCGAGAGTTAGGCTGCTCTGCCGTTTGGTGTCCTCCTGCCCCTAGATAGAAAGAGCCGCTGCCGGTTGGTAGGAGACCCTCCCCTGGGGCGACCCTTTAAACCGTTTCAGACCGCCGAAGGAATCACAATGCAGAAACATTCCAGCCCGGACCTATTAAGAGCCAGAGCCCAGATCGAGGCCCTAGAGCCCTTAGAACTGATACGGCACCCCGATCTGGCGGGCCTAAACGCCAGCGGGAAAATGCCCGACCTGAGGGACCGGTATTGGAGATACAAGCTGCGAGCTCGCTACGCTCAGCCGGGGGTGCTGTGGAACCCTGCGGAGGACGAGCGGCGAGGCTCGGGGCCAGTGACCAGCATCACCGCCTGGCAGAAGAAGTCCGCCGGAGAAGGAGTGCGTTCGCCTGTCATGGGGAGCCATTTGGGCCGGAATGAGGGGCAAACCATTGCCAACTCAAGCCTCTTGGATCTAGACCCGGAGGGCCTAGATGGCCACTGGTGGATTCATCGACACCCAGCCCCATCGATCTATGGAGCAGCAGGGACCGCCGGAATGGTGCCAGCTACTACGACGGGGACCTTCGCGTATACCCACGCTGCCCCCTGGGCCCCCACGGTGATGACTACCGCGGCTCGAGGGGGAACCACCACCCGGACTATCGCCTCTGTTGAGGGGGCCCTGCAACCGAGAGTGCCGGTGCTGCAAACGGGGCAAGAATGGGGACCCTACCGCGACCTTATCACCCTAGCCGAGGATACGGCTACCCGACTTTCGAACTCGTGGGGAAGAGCACCAGGCACCGGGCCATCTCCCACTAGGACTCGGAGTGTTACTTTCGGCCCGACCTTCGATAGAGAATATCATACCTGGGACCATACTACCTCGACTAGTCAACCAGCAAGTGAGCCGTACAACCCGTGGGGCAATACTACCTTCACCCGGGAGACGACGAATGGCCGAGGGGGATGGCCACCCCAGGATAACTACCATGCTACCCAGGAAGGACCGAGCTCCGTGTGGGCCGCCAATGCCGCCCTCCTGTATCAGCCGGCACCCCCTTCGAGTCCCGACCGGGTCAAGGACCACCGTATAGGCGTTGGACTTCGCGATTTCTCGCCTCGCGGAACCCCAACTTATCGGGTCCTCTAGATAATGTCGCCCTAGCTCGAGAAGTCCGGATCTGCGATCTCCTCCACAAAAGAGGAATCAAGTTTTCAGGGAAGCCCGGGGAAAGTGCGGAAGATTTCCTCCGCCGAGTCGAGCAATGCGGCCGGGGAGCAGGCATCACACCGGAGGACGTCCTGCGGGGACCATATTGGCAGGGGAGGCCCTGCTATGGTACGAGGTCGAGGGCACGACGTGGGAGAGCTATGAAGTGTTCTAAACCCGATTCAAGGAACAGTTCGGAGTGCGGGATCTGCAGAAGAGGCTGAAAGCGGAAGCCATTAAGCGGACCCAAGCCCCGAACGAAACTATAGCGACATATTTATTGAAGCTGCGGCTGTTATACAGCCACCCAGATCCACCAATGAGTGAAGAGGAGCAATTGGACTGGACCTACGAGAACTTACACTCCTCATATAGGGAACGCATCTCCAGAAGGACGGTCCACACTTTCAGAGACCTAAAAGAATTGGGACAGGAAGTTGAGATGGACCGACTACATCGGCAGACTTATGCTCCTCCACCTTCGGCAGCCCGCTCCGCGGTAAGGGCCGCGGTCTATGCGGACGGGGATATGGATGCACGCCAGGCGGTACAAGCAGTGGAAGCGTAGAGTCCCCCGATTATAGAGCAAGTAGATATTTCTCCAAAACCCCGACGGAAGATAGGGCCCTCAGCAATGCCAAAGAAGAGACTAGCCCTCCCACCACCCGAGAAACCCCAGGTACCGGCCACCCAGTCCCCGCCACAACCGGTCCCCAGAGGACCCAAGAAAAGCAGTTCGCCAAGACCCGTCCGGAAATTCACGGGTCCGCCACCAGGGATCTGTTGGAACTGTGGCCAGGAGGGACACTGGTTTCAGGACTGCCCGTATGAGAGAACCAAATTCGGCTACCGATGTGAACAAAAGGATGTCGTCACCCCCGAATGCCCCACCTGCAAGCAGAGAGCTTCGGGAAACGAGAAGAGGAGGGGCAGTGAGGGTCACGTTCCCCTCCAACCAGTTGAAGAGGACCCACGCCCCACCAGAGCCCTTAACCACATTAGGGTCCCAGCACCACCTTCTTGCCGGCGAGCAAAACCCCCGGTGCTTCGTGTGGTTAAGAGTGGAAGGGCGAAGATTGCCCGCTTTGGTAGATTCCGGAGCAACACGCTCCTATGTAGGGCCCCGACTGCCCAAAGCCCTCAAGACCCATATCCGACAGGTGGATAGTAAGGTCCGGGTCGCCAACGGTGAGTTGGTGGATTGCGAGGGCGCTTGAGGTTTCCCTGGAGGTTGGTAACCTCCGGAAAAACATCGTCTTGACGGTGATGTCCTCCCTAAGCCAGGACTGTGTGCTAGGGATGGACTTTCTGATTTGCTTCTCGGTTCGGATGGACTTCCGATATGGAGTTTGGGCCACTGAGGGAGGGGAATGGAACCCGATGTAGACTGAGTGTTCTGCAGCCCCCACCTTTACCCTGTATCCGGCATGCTCAGGGATCTCCGGAGCCTCTCCCACACAGAGGGAACGGATTGAGGCAATGCTGGAGAAGTGGCTCGTCAAGTCCAACGGAGCCCTGGGGGTGACCGGTCTGACCAGGCATGCCATAGATGCCCAAGGACACCCCCCTCACAAACAACGACAGAGAAGGGTTTCTCCCAGAATGATGGAGATCGCCCATGCTGAGGTGGACCGCCTGCTCGCAGAAGGCATTATTGAGCCATCTGACAGTCCTTGGTGCAGTTGTCCAGTGATAGTCCCGAAGCCCAACGGGAAGTACCGGTTCTGCATCGATTATAAGGATATCAATAGGGTCACCAAGAAGGACGCTTATCCCCTTCCTAATATGGACAAGATCCTGGATAGCCTACAGTCCGCGAAATATATTTCCAAATTGGATTTGAGTCAGGCTTACCATCAGATCGCCGTGGAAGAGGAAAGCCGTGAGATCACCACCTTCGCCGTCCCTGGAGGAGGACTCTTCCAGTTCGTTCGGATGCCCTACGGACTCACCAATGCCCCTGCCACTTTCCAGTGCCTTATGGATCGCCTCATCCGACTCGAGTGGGAACCTCACGTTTTCGCCTATTTGGACGATGTGATCATCGTTACCGAAACGTTTGAGGACCACTGCAAGTGGGTGGAAATAGTGCTAAGGGCTTTACGGGACGCCAATCTGGAGCTCAATCGAGAGAAGAGTGAGTTCTGCTGCTCTGAGGTGCGGTACCTGGGCTACATCGTAAACCAGGATGGACTGACGGTGGATCCTGAGAAGACAGCCCCCATCGTGAGTTACCCGGCGCCTACCAACTTCAAGCAGCTCCGGCGACTTCTGGGAATGGTCGGGTGGTATGCTCGCTTCCTAGGAGACGTGTCAAACCAGAAGATTCCCCTGGTACAGCTCCTGAAGAAGGACACCCCATGGAAATGGGGACCCGAGCAGCAAAGGGCCTTCGAGGAGATGAGAAAATCCCTGGTCCGAACCCCCGTACTGATCAGGCCAGACTTCAAGAAACTCTTCACGCTGCAGACCGACGCGAGCGACTATGCCCTAGGTGCTGTCCTAACCCAAGAGGTGGACGGAGAAGAGCACCCGATAGTCTTCGCTAGCCGCGTCCTGACACCTGCAGAGAGGAAGTACAGCGTGATATGGGCCGCTAAGAAGATGCGTCCCTATTTAGAAGGCATGAGCTTTAGGGTGATTACGGACCACAGTAGCCTTAGGTGGCTCCGTAATTTGAAGGATTCCACAGGCCGACTAGCAAGGTGGGCCCTCGCCATGCAGGGCCTAGACATGGAAATCATTCATAGAAAAGGATCTATGAATGTCGTCCCCAACGCCCTATCCCGCCAGTATGAGGATCAACTGGCGTGTCTAGGGGCCCTTGGAGATACCCAGGACCAGTGGTATCTGGCTCGCATGGAAAATGTGCGAGAAACACCCCGAAAGTACCCAACCTGGAGGGTAGAGGAAGGGAAGCTCTACTGCCACAGGGAGAACCCAATCATCGACCCCGCCATCCCCAACTGGAACAGTTGGAAACTGGTTTTGCCGGGGGAGATGAGACAGCGAGCCCTATCGGATGCCCATGACAATCCCCAGGCCGGACATCTGGGGGTGGAGAAGACCTACCAGCGAGTGGCCCAGGACCTCTACTGGCCGGGCATCTACCACGATGTGGCTCGCTACGTAAGAGGGTGCCCGGCCTGCCAGCAGCACAAGGTGCAGCAGCATGTACCACCAGGACTCATGCGGGAACGCCACAGCGAGGGACCGTGGTCGGTGGTCGCGGCAGATGTTATGGGACCCTTCCCACCAAGCCGTTCTCAGAAGCGATACCTCCTAGTGTTCGAGGACTTGTTCACAAAATTTGTGGAGGTCGCGGCGCTGCGAAAAGCGACCGCGACCACTATTATGAATGCTTTCGATCTAATTATTAACCGGTGGGGTTGTCCCCAGTTCTTACTGTTCGATAATGGTACGGAATTTGTAAACCAGGAAGTAAAGGACCACCTTTCATCCCTAGGGATTCGACACACCACAACGCCCCCTTATCATGCTCAGGCAAACCCGGTTGAGCGGGTCAACCGGACCCTAAAAGGCATGATAGCAACATATGTGGGTCAGGATCATCGAGACTGGGACGAGCACCTACCGGAACTGGCGTTCGCGATAAATACGGCGGTGCATGTGTCGTCCCAGATCTCGCCAGCGTTCTTAAATTTTGGTGGCAATCCCCGTCCTGTTAGGAATCTCCGTGACGAAATCCACGATCCCGACTCCTTGGACCCGGGGGATGTGCACGCCTGGGCTGATCGAGTTACACGGGTGGGGCTCATCCGCGATCTCGTGGGAAGGAACATGGAGCAGGCAGCGGCGCGCCAGGCGCGTTATTACAACCTGCGTCGCCGTTCGCTCCAGTTCAAAGTAGGGGATTGGGTGATGAGGAGGAATCGTGTCCTCTCATCAGCAATAGACCATTTCGCGGCCAAACTGGCACCCAAGTTTATAGGGCCCTATGCCGTGCACCGGGTAGTGACGCCGGTAGTGTACGATCTAGCTGATCAGGCCGGCCGTGTTACCCCCCGGATCCATGTAAAGGACCTCAAACCCTATCACTCTCCCACTGAGATAGGGCCTAGGGATGTTATAACTAATCCGTCTTTACCCCCTACAGACTCAACTAATGAGGACGCGCACCACGAGCCCGCGGACCCCCAGCCAATTTTGGATGGGGGAGGAGGAGGAGGTGGCCCTGGCGGGCTGCGCCAGCCAGGCGCCTCCATTTCGAGGACGGCGCGTCGCTGTCTCCCCCGCGCTGCCCGCGCTCCTGGAGGAGGCCGGCAAGGAGGAACCCCGGGCGGCGCCCCCGCCTCCCCCTACCTTGGGCGACTTCGTCCCCGAGGTGGGGTGGGCCGGGGGGGAGCGCCCGGGGCCACCACCGACCGGGCCCGCGGACGGCGAGGTGCCGCGGTCGTACGCGGAGGCGGTGGCGGGGCCTCCGCGAGCGAGGAGCCTCCGTCGGCCGCCCGACGGGGCCGGGAACGGCCCCGCAAGGTTCCCCCCACTGCCCCGGCCGCTGCTGGCCATCCCGACTCCCCGACCTCCATCCCCCATCCCGACTCCCCGACCTACATCCCCCACCCCGACTCCCACCCCTAAACCCCCGGCCCTTATGGCCGTCCCTGTCCCCCCGCCCAGACCCCCCATCGCCGTTCCCAAACCCCCAATCCCTGTCCCGACTCCCACCCCTAGGCCGAGGCCGCTGATGGCCGTTCCTGTACCCCCGCCCACACCCCCCATCGCCGTTCCCACACCCCCAACTCCCTCACCCCGCAACCACACCCCTACTCCCACACCCTCGCCCCGATCCTCTTCCCCCATATTCATCCTTCCCGTTTCTCCCATCCCAGCCCTCTCCGACATATTTGTGGCTCCCGTTTCTTTTCTGATGTCCTCCCCTAACCCCTCACCTCCACAATCCCCTCCCGCCGCTCGTATCCCTTCGCCACCACCATCCCCTCCCCCTTCTCCTCCCCCGACTTCACCCCCTTCTACTCCTCCCTCCCCTTTCTTCCCTCTACCGGGCCCCGCCCTCCGAGGGGTGGTAGCCCTGGGAAGGGCTCCCTCCCTCCCGGTCGGCGGCTCCGACGCCCGCACCCCCTCTCCCACCCTCTCCTACTCTTCCTTCTCCTCCATTATCCTCCCGTCCAACCCCCTTTTTTCCTCCCGTTCCTCTCCTTTCCCCCGATCCCACTCCCACTCCTCCCGGTCCTCGGGCCCCAGCGTCCTCCCGGGGTGCGCCTCCCCGCCCCCGCTGATGAGCCTCACGGTGTCTAAGCCACCGGAGGTGGAGGGCGTGCAGGTCGGGCGGTGGTACGGGGTGGACGAGTAGGCGGCCCCCCCGGTGTCGCCCGTTGGGGTGGCGTGGTGAATGCCCGCGCCGGGGACGGGTACCCCCGTGAATCCTTCCTCCTTCCGATCCCTCCTCCCTGACCCCTAATCTTCCCTTTTCCCCCTTATCCACAGATTCCCTCCCTCCTTGGGGACCCCTCCGATTTCTCATGGCCGCCGCCGTCCCGCCTGCGACTGCGGTGGTCCTGTCGGGGCCACAGCAACTAGGGCACC